ATTTTAATCATTTCATTTGTTGAATAATTAGAAACACCAACAGTTTTTGTTAAACCAAGTTTAACTGCTTCTGCTAATGCATCAGCAATAACTTCAATAGAACGAAGATGAATAGGACCATGAATTTGATAGAGATCAACACATTGAACCTAAACACAAAAGAGAATGATTGATAAATAATTTTGAAATCACATTCAGTGGTTTTAAGTTAGTTTATACCTGTAATCTTTCTAGACTTGCTTTAAGTGCATTAATAAGTGTGCTTGGATATGATAGACGATATGGATAAGGAAAGAATTTTGTAGCAATAATAACATCCTCTGTATCAGTAGCTGAACGATTTTGTTTGTATCGAGCAATACAACGTTCACTATAATATATAAGTTTATTTATTACTAATTTTCAGTTTTTTTTCTTGTGCTTACCTTTCTCCACCACCATATATTTCAGCTGTATCAAAAGTATTAATTCCTTTTGATAGAGACATATCAAAAGCTTCCTTAGCTTTTGTATTCAATTCCTCATCCCAGTTCCATGTTCTCTTATCACCCCAAGCCCAAGTACCCAAAACTATAAATATGGATACATATATATAAATAAGTATTATCATAAGATTTCTATTATTCACCAAGTGGCGAAACTAGAATACTATCTGCAAGTTTGATTTTTGTTTCAGCAGTTGGAATGATATCTGCTGGTATATACACATCATAAGTACTACTAGAACTAGAAGCCATAACAAATCAAATGAATTCTATGTATTCAATAAAGATAAATATCATATCTATAGTTATTCAATTCAAATGGATACATACTATCTCCAGTAAAGTGTTAGTTGTGATAGGAGGCGCTGTCTTGATGATATTCAAGACAATATATAACTTTGTATTCGTTAAAATCGAATGAATTTATAAAAACAATTTTTAATTAAACTACGTTCAAATCTTTGGAATTTATTTACATATAAAATATGTATATTTTAAAAATACAAGTATTTATACAAATATTACATAGTAAATAAAACATGTCTTTGATCAATTAAAAATATTACATTATAACAAGCGACTAGAAGAAAAAAAAACACTTATAGTCATGAGAATAATTTTTAAAGTCACAGAATTGCTTGTTAAAACTTATTAATTATCAATATAACATTGTATGTTAACCGAAACTATCCGATCTAATCGTTGTTGTAATTGTTTCGGTCGTTTTTTCTTCACTTGAATCTTTTCTATAACGTATTATTCGTCGAATTATAGGTATTAAAAGTGTTACAAAACCAGACATGCCCATAAATATGCCAGCTATAATCAGTGATGCTTTATATCCATAATGTTCCGCAATCCAACCTAAACAAAAAAAAATTCAATAGAAAAATCATAACATTTTTACTTATTAATCT